GATGTTCTCAGCCTCATCATACCAGGCAATCCAACTCTCTGTCTTGCACTGTTTTGCTGTCTTATTTTTTTTTTGGTTGTACCTCCCCTGGTAGCTCAGATGGTAAAGAATCCACCTCCAATGCAGAAGACCCAGGTTCGATCCCTGGATCAGGAAGATCCCCTGGAGAAGGGAATGGCAACCCACTTCAGTGCTCTTGCCTGGAGAATTCCACAGACAGAGGAGCCTGTTGGGCTACATTCCATGGGGTCACAAACAGTTGGACACGACTGAGCAACTTTCACCCTCAATTACAATCTTCTGGTATTTCCTTATGACCTTCTTTTTGTTTAGAATCCTGTTTGCCTGTTTTATTTATCTTACAAGATTTAGGTCAGAGGTACTTCCTCTAGAAATTTCCCTGAACTTCTAAGGCAGATGAAGTGCCTCTCCTCTTTGCTCCTACAGCATTTTACATTTATAGCATTTTATAGATCTATTTATATATTGTTTTATCTTCCCTACTAGGGCTTCCCAGGTGGTACTAGTGGTAAATAACCTGCCTCCAATGCTGGAGATATATAAGAGATGCAGATTCAATCCCTGGGTCAAGAAGGTACCCCGGAGCAGGGAATGGCAACCCACTCCAGTATTCTTGCCTGGAGAATCCCAAGGACAGAGGAGCCTGGAAGGCTATAGTCCACAGGGCTGCAAAGAGTCAGACATGACTGAAGTGACTTAGCACACATCTTTCCTACTAGACTGTGGACATGTCAAGGACAGGAAACCTCTATATCCTAGGTCCTTAAATCGGCATACAATAAATATTGATGGCCTTCAATTCAATCAATATCCCTAACAGTTAAGGGCAAAGAAGAGATCAAAAAGTGATCAGTCCATTATCAGAAGTCAAAACTTTCCACAATACACTTAAACACAAGAACTTAGAATAGCTGTTTCACTGAAGTTGGAACTCTGCTTTGAACAGTATTGTAAATTTCTCATGAAAAAGGCAGAAAAGAACTGTGAGTACCCTCACCAAGTGCTCTCAAATGAAATCAGTTTGAAGCAGTTTTCATTAAGATGGATTGAATGTGTATCGTGAGAAACACTTTATCAAATGTAGTGTTTTACTTAGTGATTAACTATATACCAGTTGATGAAGCTCCCCAAATCCTTTGTAATCCCACCACTCCAATAAACATTTAATGAGTATATAAGTTCAAAAAGCCTAGCAGAGGATTTAAACCTTCAATCTTGTTTTTATTTACTCTGGGAACTCAATTTCTCACTTCAAGTGAAGATTGCTGGTACTCAAGGCTCATCTGTTGCCCTGGTAAAATTAATGTGTCTCCCACAGTTTAAATTAAACATGTGATATTTAAGATGAAAGAAATTTAGTAACAATCCCACAGTATCGGTCATACTTCCCTTAAAATGTTTGAACATAATAGGAAAACTCTTTTCTTAAAAATGATTCATTCAGAAATTAAAAAAAAATATATCAAAAACAATTTCTTTTAACTTTCAAATGTGCAGTCTGAAAGAAGAGATGAAGTTTGGTAACTGAATACAGTAGTTTAGCAGTTAGCACTGAAAAGCTTTGGAAGTAAGACGGTGTAGTATAAAATACACTTTTATATGTTAGAACAACTGCACTTTTGCTTGGCCTCTACTGCTTACCCTTGATTTGCCTTTGGTTAAGTCATGTAGCTTTTCTGAGCTTCCTCATCTCTACAATTGGAATATTGATATTATGTATCCCTATCTCACTGGTTTGTTGTGAGGTTGAAATGAGATATGCATAAAGCTTCACAAACCATAGTACACCATACAAACCTAAAGCAGTAGTACTATTTCTATACTTTCTAGACAATCGTTTTTAATTTAAAAGAATATGTATATAATTAGGTTGATGACTAAAATAAATGTTCCTTCTCAGATTTAATTTTGAATAACTTATCCACTATGCAGAAAAATCTTAAGTTTAGAGCAATGTAATAAATGATACATAAACTGCTATTGATCTTTAACTTGGAAAAGAGAAATGAAGAAAGAAAAAAAAACCCTAGACAAGCAGAAAAAGATAAAAGATATTTTAGGAGTCCAAAGAAGTTAGTGGATTTTGGTATCAATCTAATACAAAACAACACACTTAATTACATGAACCAATGACTTTCAGTTGTTAAAATACTAATTCAGTAATCAAAAACAAACAATTGTTTCATTAGAAATACCAGAAATTATTAAGAGTTTATGCTCCTCTGGGGATCAGCAGTCTGAAGAAAACCAAATGCCAATTTACTGTACAAAGACACTCAGTAAAAAGTTCTTTCATCTATTATATATTGTATATTTAAATAATATATCATCACTGAAAAGTATAATGTTTCTAATAGCTTTTAAAATGGAATTCAACAGATGACTATGCCTATTTGGGAGCTATATTTAGGTTATAAAAGACCCTTGTATTTTCTGGTTACTCCAACTGCTTAGCAATCTTGCTGGAAAGCAGAGACAAATTAATCCCAAATACATTTATACCCAGGAATGAACTGAAAAAGAGATTACTTTAAAATTATAAATATTCTTTCAAACATATTTATGTTCAACAGTAAGTGATTGTTTAAATAGAATAACATCACCATACAATGATGGACTCTAACCATTAAAAATCTGATTATAATAAAGTATTCAGCATTACTTAAAAAGCATCCTTGCAAAAAAAAGAAATTCACCTGAATCTAACAAAGCTTTAAGCCTTAATATCCATTTCTCAGGAAATACAGAGATAGAGGAACAAGTTAAATAATATCACAAGGAAACAATCACACAAATCAAGAATTGAGAACAATCTGTAATCATCCAACATGATTTCTCAAAAGCAAATGTCATAAAAAACAGGCGGTGGGGAATAAAGGGGGTGTTTGCTTAAAATGGTATAAGAAATCTAACAAACAAATATAATTTGTTATCCTTGAGTGGATCATGGTTTCCCAACCAACCACTGAAGTTTGAATATGCACTGGATACTAGATGATGCTAGCAAATTATTGTTAATTATGTTACAAGCAATACTGGTATTGTGATTCTGTAGGAGAACATCATTATTTTTGAAAAGTGTATGCAGCTGTTTTTATGGGTAAACTATGATGTCACCTTGAAATAGCTTAGCAAAAATAATGAATATTTAAGGGTATCCTAACTTCTGCAGTTTAAGTTTTAATAATTTGAAAAGTTTAACTGCTAAAACTTAAAAAAAAATTTGCAAATTTATATTTCTTTTATATTTGCTTTTATGAATTTTGAATAATAAATTCAAAATTATTTTCTATTCCAGTCAAAGTTTGCAATTTTCAATCAGAGGGACTGAAACAAATATTTACCATAAAAATTTATTAATCAAAATCATAAATCTAATAGCATAAATAATGTAAATAATTAAATTTCAAATGTTGCTTCTTTTTAAGTATGTAGCAGTTAAACTTTTCAAGTTATAAGGCTTAAAACTCTATTAAAACTTTAGGATGTCCTGTATATAAAGAAGCAAATATGGGGTAAAATTTTAGTGATTATTAAGTCTAGGTATAGGTGATTTGAGTGTTTACTGTACTATTCCTTTATTTTTTATTAAAAATTGTTTTAGTAAAAGTTGAAATATTATAAAATATAATTAAGGGTATGATCATATAATATTTAAAAGGTGAAAATAAGCTGTTTGAACAGGATTATAACATGACCAATTTCTTGTTAAATGTGGGCTCCACAAAATATATATAATAAAAATATGGAAAGAACATGTATCATAAAGCTAATCTGTGTTAGAATGTATTCTTTGTGCTTTTCAGTATCTTCCAAAACCTGTATAGAAACTATAAAACTGTATTACTGTAAATCTATGTCTTCAAAAATAAAATCCATTTAATATAGTTTTAATAGTTAAAAAATTGATAGTTAAAACAGACTTTACATGGGCTATTCAACTATTCTTAGGGTAAAGAACAGTTTATGTTTCTTAATCTACTTCACTGAGCTGTCAATGACAGATTTAAGTTGATCACTAATGACTGTCTTGGAATTCCATTTTTCAAAGTTGTTTTAGATAAATTTTTCTTTAGGTCGTAAGAAGAACTAGAAATTCCAGAGTCATCCTTACACTCTACTCTCAAAATTCCTAATTCCAAAACTTTTACTCTAACTCCATCTACACGTTAGTCCTTCCTTCCTCCCTTTTTTCCTTTATTCATTAAACATTCAGAGTGTTTAGCTAACCAGGTAAAGAGCAAGATGAAAGGTATTCTTAACACTAAGGCAGCATTAGAAAAGAGTAACATTATGGGGAAATACAAATGGTACACTGCTGCTACATTAATTAAGTGTAAGGCAGGAAATGGGAAGAGCTGAAGCTGTACAGGTAGGCAAGAGCCAGATAACTGAGGCCTGGACTGCAGTGTCAACATATAAATAGAACAATCGCATGGAATCTTCTTGCTCAAAATGTAACTATTGATTTCTTGTTACATATCTCAATCTTCTTGATTGTAAGATCACAAAGCTCATTTCTGTATTTAAAGGAAAATCTTATTCTCTAAAATGACTTTTAGGAAAAAATATTACAGTTATTAGATACATACTATTAGATGGAATAATCATTTGGGGAAAAGATTGAAGGACAAATCTCTTAGCAAGAAACTGTCAATCACATAACTAAAAAGAATACAAGTACACAGCCTGGTCCCTTCCAAGCATGTCCACCCCTTTTACCCCCTTAAAAAAAAAGAAAAGAAAAGAAACCCTGTTTCAAAGCTTGACAAAGTCTTCTGCAAGAGCCGGTAGTACCCTATCATACTACTGCCCTCTGACTGAAATGGGCATCTTGGTGATGATTAGGTTGGGAAACGAACCAAAAACAAAATCAAGTCTTCAATCTGAAAAAAGCGGAAAACATTAAGCATTGCCTCAGGCCTGGTGGTAAACCTATGGGATGCACTGTTTAATTAAAAAAGGTAAATTGCACTTACATCTCGGGCTTTCACATAGAAGGCCTCTTGAAAAGCTGCTTCTAATGAGCCAATAAAAAATACGGGATGGCAGTCACCATATCTATAGGAAAAATTGCATCTATTAATTAAAATACATTTCAAATTTACTTCAAGTTTCACAAGTCTAACCAAAGACTTTTAAGTAAATGTTGGGGCTAATGTCTCTTTAAATATAGAAAAAACATTAAATCATTTCTTTAAAGCCTTCATTAGTTTTTTGAACTCTTCTTGGCCTCTAGATCACAACAGTGGAATTTTAAGTACATTGAGCAAATTGCCATTTATAAGTAGTAATTCCTGGTTACCTATTTCCCTAAGATTTCCTAATTACAACAGCCTTAACTTTCCATTTTAGTTCATTTATTCTGGAAGTCCAACACAGAGAGAAAACATGGTCCCTTGCTAAGTTTCCAAATTACATTACATCAGAAAACAGAACTAAAGAAAAATATCATTTACATGAAAACTTAGGTTTAAATATTTAAACACCTTAGGAGAATCTCAAATACACAGAAAAATTTGTATAAGACTATTAAAAGAAGAAATGCTAAATGATTCAAAAAAAAATTAAAAGATTCATTTACATTTAAAAACATTTGTCTTTTTATCCAATATTTGAAAAAATATTTTGTCTGTCCTAGGATATACTAAAAATTAGTATCCTATATACCTAGTCCTTTTGGACTTCCTTAGTGACTCAGCAGTAAAGAATCTGCCTGCAATGCAGGAGATGTGGGTTTGATCTCTGGGTTGGGAAGATCCCCTGGAGAAGAAAATGGCAACCCACTCCAGTATTCTTGCCTGGGAAACCCCATGGTCTGAGAAGCCTGGCAGACTATGATCCATGGGGTCACAAAAGAGCTGGACATGACACAGCGACTGAAAAACAACAGCCTAGTCCTTTTGCAAATATCGTCAAGATGTTAAATTAGTAATCCATTTATTATGCTTCTATAATGATACAGAGATAAGACAAATACATCTCTGAAGTGGCATAAGTAGTTTATAGTTATCTGATTGGAACATTCTATATTCACTATCAGGACTATATGTATAGATGAATGTATACTTTGAACACTTTAAGGATAAATTTTAAAACAATCTACAATTAAAGTTGTTTCAAAAAAATCATAGTAGCATTAAAAGAACATCAATTTATATAGTTAATGTCCTAACCCTACCTTGAAGAAAACTCTGCTGTAAATTGTAATAAGGCATCTCCTTCATTTTCTGCGTTTTCTGGCACTAAAAAACAAACAAAAGAAAAAACAAAAACAAAAAACCAAAACAAATAGACACAAAAAACAAACCACATAACATCTAATCCCACATATAAGAAATATATTTAATCAATAAAGAGGAAATAAAATTAAATTTTCGCTTCTGTGATTTATCTGAGAAGACATTTTAACTCCAGCTACATTAGAAGATTTTATCAAACCTTAAAAAAGAACCCCCAAAAATGTCATGTTCATGAATTTTTGAAAACTGACACAATCTTGCTAGGTGTTCAAAATATGTGCCAGTCATCAATTATGATTTCAAAGTTTTCTTGAAAATGACATCTTGTAATTAAATTATATAAAAAGGCTCTCAAATTATTTAAAGACCTAATGGGAAAAATCAACTTTATGTGAATATCACATCTATTTCTGCCCATAAAGGTTCCCTAATTTCAGAGTAAACGAGTGATTTATGGGCTTAGTTTAACAATCATCTTGTATGCAGTATCCCTTAAGATCCTACACTATGCATCCTGTCAAGTGCAAGTGAGGGAGATGGTACAGTTTACTTTTTTCCCTCCAAAGATGGGTGAATGGAAAAATAATATAACTACTGATAAAACTGGTATCTCCAATAAGATGTGTGGTGATTAACTACAATCACAAAAAGTACAGCTATTTTATCAACTTCCAGGCTTCAAGTAGATAGACAAATTCATACATGTGAAACAAAAGTTACATTCCCTTGAGTTTTTAATGAATTTTACTAAAGTATTGGGAATGGTTTGGCTTAAGATCAAAACTTAAGAGGCTCTAGTTCCAATGAATAATGTCTACTTGCTACATTTTATCTCTCAAAACCTGGAAGTCAGGAAGAAATTTTTAAGTTCATCGTTCCTCGTAAGTTTCTGAACTAGGAGGGAGAATCATAATGCTGGACCCAAGGAGCTATTAATACTCACTCATTGGAGATTTTCTCAGGGCAGATGATGCCATGCCGAATACTTCTCCATCATCCACTCCAAATTCGGAAGCATCTTCAAAGTCATCTCCATCACTATCACTAACCATATGAACATCGGTGCTTTGCTATTTAAGAAAAGTCCTATAATTAGTTTCATATTGACTTTAGGAAATCAAATTCCTAACATACAAGTTATATAATCACAATAGGGCATTAGAATTATAAAAATTTTATTAAATAAGAAGCTATTTGCTAAAGTGAAGCTTAATATTTCTCATTTTAAGGCTTATATATATATATATAATATTAAATATATTTCTAATCTTGCTATGATACCCCTATACTAAAGGATGGAGGCTAAGGGAAAATGAAGGATGCTTACAAAATCAATAAAGACTGGGTTTTTTTTAATCAATTTTTATCCCCAGCCTATAGTACACAATTAAGAGCACAATAAATGAGGAAATGGGTAAAATCTAAGAAAGTCAGAGATAAATAAGCTATACAGGTTATCTGACTTCAGGAAATCAAATTCCTAACATACAAGTTATATAACCACAATAGGGCATTAGAATTATAAAAAATTTTATTAAATAAGAAGCTATTTGCTAGAGTGAAGCTTAATATTTCTCATATTAAGGCTTACACACACACACACACACACATATATATAAAATATTCAGTTCAGTTCAGTCACTCAGTCGTGTCCGACTCTTTGCGACCCCATGAACTGCAGCATGCCAGGCCTCCCTGTCCATCACCAACTCCCAGAGCCCACCCAAATTCATGCCCATTGAGTCGATGATGCCATCCAACCATCTTATACTCCGTCATCCCCTTCTCCTCCTGCCCTCAATCTTTCCCAGCATCAGGGTTTTTTCCAATGGGTCAGCTCTTCACATCAGGTGGCCAAAGTATTGGAATTTCAGCTTCAACATCAGTCCTTCCAATGAACACCCAGGACTGATCTCCTTTAGGATGGACTGGTTGGATCTCCTTACAGTCTGAGGGACTCTCAAGTGTCTTTTCCAACACCACAGTTCACAAGCATCAATTCTTCTGCGCTCAGCTTTCTTTAGAGTCCAACTCTGACATCCATACATGACCACTGGAAAAACCATAGCCTTGACCAGATGGACCTTTGTTGACAAAGTAATGTCTCTGCTTTTTAATATGCTGTCTAGGTTGATCATAACTTTCCTTCCAAAGAGTAAGGGTCTTTTAGTTTCATGGCTGCAATCACCATCTGCAGTGATTATGGAGCCCCCCAAAATAAAGTCAGCCACTGTTTCTACTGTTTCTCCATCTATTTGCCATGAAGTGATGAGACCAGATGCCATGATCTTAGTTTTCTGAATGTTGAGCTTTAAGCCAACTTTTTCACTCTCTTTCACTTTCATCAAGAGGCTCTTTAGTTCTTCTTCACTTTCTGCCATAAGGGTGGTGTCATCTGCTATCTGAGGTTATTGATATTTCTCCCGGCAATCTTGATTTCAGCTTGTGCTTCCTCTAGCCCAGTGTTTCTCATGATGTACTCTGCATATAAGTTAAATAAGTAGGGTGACAATTTACAGCCTTGACGTACTCCTTTTCCTATTTGGAACCAGTCTGTTGCTCTATGTCCAGTTCTAACTGTTGCTTCCTGACCTGCATACAGGTTTCTCAGGAGGCAGGTGAGGTGGTCTGGTATTCCCATCTCTTTCAGAATTTTCCACAGTTTATTGTGATGCACACAGTCAAAGGCTTTGGCATAGTCATATATATATATATATGTATATATATAATCTTGCTATGACACCCCTACACTAAAGGATGGAGGCTGAGGGAAAGTGAAGAATGCTTACAAAATCAATGAAGACTGGGGTTTTTATAAGTTTTATCCCCAGCCTAGAGTACACAATTAAGAGCACAATAAACAAGGAAAGGGGTAAAATCTAAGAGGTCAGAGATAAATAAGCTATACAGGCCTTTCAAAAAGCTTGTGGAGTAATGACAGCATTTTAAAACTTGCCACTTGCTTATTGCAATGGTTCTCAAATTTCTCATTAGTGAAATATGGTATGCTACTTCCATGGTATTTCTGGAAGGTAAACAAAATAATATATGAAAGCTCTTTAAAACTGAAGGCTATTAAATGAGATGTAATAATGATGCTTCAATTCAGTACACTTTTACTGAGAATTTACTACATGCTGGGCACTAGTAAACAAGCTGTTTATTTTGTTTTCAGCAACTTCAACTGAGATGTAAGCTACAACAATGAAAAACATCACTTTCAAAATGTGAATTAAGCTCCTGATCTCTAAATTAAATTATTTAATGTTTTGGTTGCATTGGTGCTGGGCCTTTGTTGCTGCCAATGGGCTTCCTCTAGTTACGGAAAGGGGATACTCATTGCAGTGGCTTCTCTTGTTGTGGACCATGGTCTTTAGGGTGCACAGACTTAGTTGTCCTATGGTACGTGGGATCTTTCCCAAACAGGAATCAAACCTCTGTCTCCTGCACTGGCAGGCAGATTCTTAACCACTGGACCACCAGGGAAGTCTGAGATACCAAACATTTGAATTGAGTTGTGAATACTGACAAATATTCACATCTTGGATAACAAGGGCGCCCCAGCAAGGTATCTGGCTAAATGCCTGTCTGTACTATGTTTAATAAATCAGGTCTACAAAGCTCATTTAATAAATGAAGTTTATATGTTTTAAATTATGGTGGTGTGCACCTAAATTATTAAAATGAACTCAGGAGCAAAGATTCATGAAACTTGTCTAGAGGGGATGTTATAGTTTGGTTAGTCATAGAATTATAGATACTAAAACTGGAAGGGATTTTAAAGATCTCTCACTAATGGTTTTCATGTTTCTTTTCACAGAGTTACCTAGCTGCCCTTTGTTTTTGTTCAGTCGCTCAGTTGTGTCCAACTCTTTGTGACTCCATGGATTGCAGCACGCCAGGATTCCCTGTCTTTCACCTTTTCCTGGAGTTTGCTCAAACTCATGTCCATTTAGTTGGTGATGTCACCCAACCATCTCATTCTCTTGTGTTCCCTTCTCCTCCTGCCTTCCATCTTCAGCAACATCAGGATCTTTTCCAGTGAATCAGCTCTTCACATCAGGTGGCCAAAGTACTGGAGCTTCAGCATCAGTTCTTTCCAATGAATATTCAGGACTGATCTCCTTTGGGATGGACTGGTTGGATCTCCTTGCAGCCCAAGGGACTCTCAAGAGTCTTCTCCAGCACCACAGTTCAAAGGCATCAATTCTTCCGTGCTTAGCCTTCTTTATCGTCCAGCTTTCACATCCAAACACAACTACTGGAAAACCATAGCTTTGACAGTACAGACCTTTGTTGGCAAAGTTATCTCTCTGCTTTTCAATATGCTGTCTAGGTTTTTCATAGCTTTTCTTCCAAGGAGGAAGCGTCTTTTAATTTCATGGCTGCAGTCACTGTCCATAGAGATTTTGAAGCCCAGGAAAATAAAATATGTGACTATTTCCATTGTTTCCCCATCTATTTGCCGTGAAGTGATAGGACAACATGCTATGATTTTAGTTTTTTGAATGTTGAGTTTTAAGCCAACTTTTTCATTCTCTTCTTTCACCTTCATCAAGAAGCTCTTTAATTCCTCTTCACTTTCTGCCATTAGGGTGGTGCACTGGCAAATATGAGGTTATTGATATTATCTTGGCAATTTTGATTCCAGTTTGAGAGTCATCCAGGAGTAGATATTATGGTCATCTGAATTAAATTCACCCATTCTGGTCCATTTTAGTTCACTGATTCTAAAATGTCAATGTTCACTCTTGCTATCTCCTGTTTGACCATTTTCAATTTACCTTGTTTCACAACCTAACATTCCAGGTTCCTATGCAATATTGTTTACAGAATCAGACTTGCACCACCAGACAAATCTATACCTGGGTGTTGTTTCCACTTTGGCTCAGCCTCTTCATTCCTCCTGGAGCTGTTTTTCTGCTCTTCTCCAGTAGCATATTAGACACCTACTGACCTGGGAGGTTCATCTTTGAGCATCATATCTTTTTGCCTTTTCCTACTCTTCATGGGGTTCTCAAGGCAAGAATGCTGAAGTGCTTTGCCATTTTCTTCTCCAGTGGGCCACATTTTGTCAGAACTCTCCACCATGACCTGACCATCTTGGGTGACCTTACATGCCGTGGCTCATAGTTTCATTGAGTTAGGCAAAGTTGTGATCCATTTGATGAGCCTGGTTGGTTTTTTGTGATTGCTGTTTTCATTCTGTCTGCCCTCTGATGGATGAGCCTAAGAGGCTTGTGCAAGCTTCTTGATGGGAAGGACTGGCTATGGGGAAAACTGGGTCTTGTTCTGGTGGGCAAAACTAGGCTCAGTAAGTCTTTAATCCAATCTTCTGCTGGTAGGTGGAGCCTCAGGCCAAATGCAACCTCTTTCAAAAGGACTTATGCTAGCCTGAAACAAAGTATGTTGACTTGGTAGGCTTTTCCTCCTTGGGCATAACCAAACATTAACGCCAAGACTTGTAACATTTTCCTTCTTATCTTAAAAACAGTTTTCCCAATGGTTTGAATAGAGAAGGTACATAATACTTATTGGAAGAATGAAATGAATGACTCTTGCCCTAAGCCTATTCTGTTCTGACTTTACCACTATTTCTCACAGAAGCCTTGGTTCCATTTGCAATCCTAATGTTTCTTAAGTGTTTTGCTTTGTGGAGCCAAGATCTCCTCCTTATTTCAGCAATTCAACAGCTTAAAAATTTAAACCCTTTCTCATATCAAAACAGAGAGGGAGCCTACTCTTCAAAATAACACATTTTCTAGGACCATAACTGTACTTGAATTCCATCTGTGCTTCAGGTAGGCAAATACCTGGAGCATAGACTGCCTTTGAATTTTGAGGCTCAGTCTTTAAACAGGTAAATGTTCAGGATATAAAAGGTCACTATACATTCCTTTAGAGTACTTAGCCAGGCTCACAGGCAGGTGGAAAGAAACAAAAGTCCAGTATGACAAACTTTCTCGTATTCTCAGCCAGCTAAGCTATCATCTCAGCCTTCATTTAGTCTTGCCTATCACTTACCCTCCCTTTAAGAGGCATCAGATTAAGAAGGAGGTTTGGAGGACAG